TAAGCCATTAGGATAGCTATGAATTTCTCAATCATGCATGTAATATTTTGAACTGTAATCTAATCAGAATCTAATTATTTACTGTAGAATTTTTATATATATATTACGAAAAATCTCTATGGTCTGTGCGTGGTTCAATCCTTGGTAACAGGTATATTGTCGACATTTGACTAAAACTATCGTAAGGAATTAGAAGAGTTTCTCCTTGTTTATATTCCATTATATTGTATAAATTCGCTGGGTACAAATTTATGAAATTTTGGGGTTTTCGAGTCGTTTAATTTAATACAAAAGGAAAAACATTAATTCAACAGGCAAGAAAGTCCAGAGTGCGACGCAAAAATTAACACAAGTACACAACGGATGTTATGAGTCCACGACGTATATTTATAGTTGTTTATTAAAAAGTCAAACTGTCAAACCTTTAACTTGTCCTTGTTTACATATCCTTCTATATATGGGCTAATAAACGAAAAATGTACCACAAGCATGGCATGAGTCGGCTATTACGTACATAAATACGAGCTTATTACTATACTATTCAAATCATGGAACCGAGGGAATCGATGGCATTTTGGCTTAATCGTTGCACCCTGAGCCTGCGATGAGCTAACGCAAACTCGATTTCTCGACTACGAAAAAAACAGAAAAAGAGGGATTTAAGACACTTGGCCTACAGGCCAGTGTAATAACACAACTGCATGTAGACTATAGCCACGACCCATTAGTGATCGGTTCCAAATTTAATATGCAAGAATACCTTTAATTAATTTCTTCGTCACAAACCGTAGGAAAAAAAAGGTCGCCGGATCTGGATTGGATTAGGGTTGGAATGAGATTAGATTAGGGTTAGGGTTAGCGGTTGGGGGTTAGGGGGGTTAGGGGTTAGAGGTTAGGGTGGGGGTTGGGGTGGGCAATGTCTTAATTTGAACGCTTTTTACAATTAAGACATAGCCTTAATTTTCGGAAGAGATCGAGCTGCATTCAGAGCGCTCGCGAGCTTTTTTTCTGGGCTAAAGTGCCCAATTAATTAAATCGATCCGTATTACTTGATTTACGAAGTATATGACGGGAAGTTTAAATATTACAGAACTCCGCGAGTATTTGCAGTAGAAATACGAAAATACCACCACAAAAATCGGCTTGAAAAGTTCTATGAAATCGAACAACGTAAAATAGCCATAAATAATAAACTAGCCATACTCGAACAACGTAAACTAAACATACAATATACTCGAAGAATGTAAACAAAGCATCACTAAGCCATACTTTTCGCCGAATATAACTTCGGCCCCTTTCAACGTATCTTCTTGGTATTAATCTTGTTCGAAACACAATCCAACACACTATTTAGAGTGTTATTTTCAAGCTTGTATCTGCAGATTCGCATCTTCTATTACGGTATTTCAAAATATCTAAATTTTACGCAATTACGCGAGTGCTTTGACCGGAAGTTTAAGTTGAAATATCCGAAACAATGCGATGTTTACATCCCATCACTCGGGAAACGCTGGAAATCGATTCTAGTTAAAGGTCAAAGTACCCCTGTGGCGTGAATTTGACGTGCATGAGGCTACGGGTGCTCCTTATTGGCCAATTTTAGCGATTGTGGCACGCGCGTGCAATGTGGCACGCGCGTGCAAGTAAAAACCCGATATTTTGAAAAATTCAAAATAAATATTTCTACTTGTCGTATTCAAACGAAACTTTCTACAGAAAAGAGCTTGAATACAAGGAGTATTTCACTGCTATTGACTTGGGCGAATGCTGAAGAGTTTAGAAAATATTCAAGTTTTTCTCGATATGAAATACAAAATGTTTCGCCAAGAGGTGAGTAAATATACGATTGTATTGGTTTGTGTGTAATGTTATGACGGCATTTGACCCCCCGTTCGAAAGGTTGTTTTATGAGGATTTCAACGGTGGTTTTCGTTTTAAAGGGGGGGGGGGGGGTTAATACTTGCC